TCGACATCTTCGGGGCGTCGGACTGCAAAAACTTCTCAAGAATTTTGTCGGACAATAAGATACTTTCATTTCAAATCTTATTACCAAACCCTCCCAGAAAAATCAGCTTGCTGGTTGTCACCAACCATAATATCACCAAATCGGCATATTTGGGGTGGGGGACAAACTCAAAGTACCAACATTTTTGTCGGACAATTTTTTTGGGAGGTTTAAAAAAATATATCTTTCATTTAAACTTAAAAAAAAGTGGTGGTCATAACATTCCATATTTATGCCAGATTGACATGTTTTCCTGAAAATCACGGGAAAACTTACCACTGTTGAATTTTCCTCCTAGTCAAATCTTGGGAGACTGGTTAAACTTAAGCTGCACGCAAAGTTACAGCTTGCTGGTAATCATTTTTTTTTGTACGTGGGCCCGTGGATTATAAACACAGGAAACGTTTTTATATTAAAATTCTGAAATGAGGAAAGATGGAGGGAGGGTATTTAGTAAAAATTATTTAGAAGAAAGTTAATGTTGATTGGATAAACATTGGTTTTAGTCAGTCTCGAATAATCAAACACGAGATTCAGAAGAAGCGTTAAAATTATTGATTCATACAAGAAAAAAAAACAAACTCAATAAAAAGAACTGGTTGCAAAAGTTGGTGCTTTCGCAAGGTTAGTAAATCTCGATATTCGACCGAAATATGGTGATTGAATTCATATCTTAGTCCAAATATTGATACCTACTTATTTAAAAATATATAGGTTGTCAAAGTTACAATTTTATTTACAATTTTTCTATATTACTGAACATTTTCTTTTGATATGAGAAATAACAATCCGCGCTGCTAAAATCGCGATGTTTTGACATATTTGAGGTTATGTTACATGGAAAGGTAAATTTTTTGCTGAAACCATTAATGGGGTAGGGTGTTAAAGTAGATACTATATTCACTCTTTAGAACGTACTTGAATCTATCCCGATATCATTTTTTGTTTTTGAGAAACTAAACTTATTTCTTTTTGAATTGTTTCTACCCCACATCCTTAAAAATGAAGGAAAAGAACGAAATAATGTCGCTATTGAGCAGTTGCGAGCAATTTAATTGAACCATCTACAACTTAGTCATTAAACCTAACAACGGCTCACGGAGGATGGACTACAAAGTTAACTCAATTCATTTGCATGCTATTCCTATGCCGCAATTTCGTGTCGGCTAACAGCCGCTGTTAATGCCGACATTTGCATTTGCATGAGGCAACCACATATGCAGCCCTTTTACGGATGGGCGACACTACGACGCTATAAACACTGCAATGCGAAGACATAAGAGGATTAATGGTCCGGCACTATTTTTGCCGTCGCGCCGACGATGGTATGTGCTTATGCGCGGGTCAAGGGTGTCCTCGTAAATAATTGAAAGCCGAAATACCTAATTTACCAACCGGACAAGGTCCGTTAACCAATAAAACACGCATTGGAAGACAAGCTCTTCATTTGAACAAGGTATAATTGCCACAGTAAGATACAACATACATACAACAGTAAGACATATACAGGTCGGGAAAGTCCCTATGGTTCATCGGCCTTTATGTATGAGCGATAAAGTAAGTCATAAAAATCCGTGCGATAGACAATGATGGCTATAACGAAGGCGTCTCATAGTCACAGCCCGTTTCGCCCTTCCACAAATTGGATCCACTTCCACTTGTGATTCAGCGACCGGTGGTCATCTTTGTTTTCGTCGTTTGGCTTTTCTTTAATAGATGTCACTACTTATACAATTTCGACTTCGGTATTCCGATATGTTAATACAATCCGTTAACAGGGGGCAGCACAAAGCGTGACAAAGAAAACTTTTTACAGTAGCTAGTAGATACCTCTGTTTGTAAATCTAGTGACCTTGTTTCCCCTACTGAGAAGTTATTCAAATGGAGTATAGTGGTCAGCTGCATTTAAAGTTCATTTAGTTGTTATTTAAGTTTATTACTTTTTAAAATGACGTAAAAATCCCAAGAAATAAAGCAAAATTCCCTATTTATCCAATTCCAAAAAAAATCTGTAGATCTGGCATCACTCTTTCTAGGGCTGCGCGCACCTTAGACAAATTGTGCTGCCCTTTAGGTACCTATTCGAAATAGGTACCTAAATATAGTGATATAGGCAACCAGTAACGAAATTTAGGAGATATCCAGATTTGGGAATTGTTAAGATGACATTTCAATTAAATGAATAGTGACTAATTTGACTAAGATTTTTTTCGTTTTAGTTCATACGAATATTGTTTGTGACGCAATGGATAAAATACAACGGTTTTAGTTGTACTTATAGCACTAGATAAAAGACAGCAGACTCGCCATTTTGGAGCCCACTTCGTCATGTCATAATCATAAATCTATTGTAAATCCGCTAGTGAACGGTTGTCAGCGGTTGTTTCCTACGGTTTCAACTAGAATTTTGTGTTAAAAATGACTGGGTGTTCGGCTCCAAATTGTACGAATCATCGAGAAATGGCTATAGATTCTATAGATACGTACTTTGCTATATAATAAATCATTCAACACGAAGTCAGTAAAGTTCAATCCAACTTCATATAACCTCAAATTGAAATTTCATCAGTTTTTTATAAATTTGTATTGATTTTAAAGTCGGTTTGTAAACATTATTTGCTACAAACTTTCTAGACATTTTAGGTTCCCTGTAGATCCCGAAAGACGCAAAAAATTGTTAATA